TTTCCAGTTCAGACAACTTAAAAGCCATCACAAACCTATTTCAGTTCAGCACAAAGATTGGCAAACAAAATTGCACAATGTTATACATTCTGTTATTTCAAATCAGTAATTTAATAATTCAGATTTTAGAAGCAATAGCTGATATTGTGGCTCTACAAAACATTTAAATTTGAAACCATTTTCAAATTAACGTTTTTCTCTTGTATTTATGGTGGGACTATCAGAAACCAGGGGAATTTATCAACGTGTTCTGGTTAAAAATTGGTTTAATGTTCTACAAGTAATTTTCTACAAGTGGTGCAATCACTATGGAAACCGGTGGACCTGCTGGTACATTCCAATGGTGTCTCCTCCCCTTTTAAATGTTTGCACCAAATTTAAAACAGAATACTTTACTAAATCTCCAGCAATAAATTGCATAATATAATGTGAGATTTAAGTAATGCTTATATAACTGGGAACATCACAAATAAAATGCTTACTATATATCGGAAAAAAGTGTTAAAGGTTGACATTGTTAAACACAAGGAACATGTGTGACAACTTCAAACAGACATTGAACATGCACACAACTGGCTAAAATCACAAAGTACAGAAGTTTGAAGTGGTTTGAGATAATTGTTTATTTTATTCTGCACTTTGAGATGCTAATTGCTATAAGTTTTCTGTTGCTGTGGAAACTTCAAGGGCATTACAGGGTGTTTGCAATTGCTATGACAACTTCATTACCAAGTTGTTTATTGTTGCCATAGAAGCAGCAAATGCATTACCAAATTGACAGATAATTGACTGGACAAGCTCTTAAAATGGATTTCATATTTCAAAAAATAAGTTCATAAACTTCTACTGATCTTTACTTGTCTTGAATTATGCAAGAACTGCATTATATAGTGATTGAAGAGATGCTTAGGCCCATGCAGATCAACTGAACTTTTTGTGGCAAATCTCTGAAAGTTTATTAATCGGGTGGAACATTCCATTGACCTCAATGGTGACTGCTCATTAATATGCACTTTGCTCTGGGTTCGTATGAGCACTGTCTTGATAAATTGGGTCCACATGTGATTTAATTTTCAAAATTTGCGTTTGCATTAGATTTTTTGGGTAGAAATGAAACCCTGTTCTGTGTTAATCACTGGTTTAGCAATTTTCACTTCAAGACATTTGTTCTCCAGTTCTTATAAATTTCTTGGGATGATGATCGAATCATAATGACATGTTTGAAAAACACTACTCCAGGTTCAGAGTGCATGGAGAATAGTTGGGGATTAAGAAGCATAGAGAGTACATTTAATTACATTTGTTAATATTATCTTTTGTGACTTTTGTCCCTCTTTATTGTTCTATATTATACAATTATACCATATGTTATCAGCCACCCATGCATACATCTATTTTCTTCTTTTATCAATAGAAACATGGAATGTGACGGCAGATAAGAACCATTCGGCCTACCTAGTCTGCCCAATTTTCAAAATACTTTTAATTAGTCCCTGGCCTTATCTTAAGTCTAGGATAGCCTTATGCCTATCCCATGCATGCTTAAACTCCATCACTGTGTTAACCTCTACCACTTCAGCTGGAAGGCTATTCCATGTGTTCACTGTAAACTAATACTTCCTGAGATTATTTTTAAACCTTTGCCCCTCTAATTTAAGACTATGTCCTCTTGTTGTGGTAGTTTTTCTTCTTTTAACCCCTTAAGGACACATGACATGTGTGACATGTCATTATTCCCTTTTATACCAGAAGTTTGGTCCTTTTATGTATTTAAATGTTTCTATCATATCCCCCCCTGTCTAGTCTTTCCTCCAAACTATACAAGTTCCTTTAACCTTTCCTTGTAAGTTTTATCCTGCAATCCATGAACCAGTTTAGTAGCCCTTCTCTGAACTCTTTCCAAAGTATAAATATCCTTCTGGAGATACGGTCTCCAGTACTGTGTACAATACTCCAAGTGAGGTCTCACCAGTGTTCTGTACAATGGCATGAGCACTTCTCTCTTTCTACTGCTAATGTCTCTCCCTATATATCCAAGCATTCTGCTAGAATTTCCTGCTGCTCTATTACATTGTCTTCCTATCTATAAGTCATCTGAAATAATTACGCCTAAATCCCTTTCCTCAGATGTTGAGGTTAGTAGGGTATCAAATATTCTATACTCTGCTCTTTGATTTTTACGCCCAAGATGCATTATCTTGCACGTGTCTACATTAAATGTCAGTTGCCACAGCTCTGATCATTTTTCTAATTTACCTTAATTGTTTGCCATTTGACTTATCCCTCCTGGAACATCAACCCTGTTGCAAATTTTAGATTCCTGAGGTACCCCACTGTAACTAGACCTTGCTTTGAATATACTCAAGTTGCCTGTCATTCAGCCACTGCTTAACCTATTCAACAATATTGGAATCCAGTCTTAAAGATTGCAGTTTATTGATGAGCCTTCTATGTGGAACAGTGTCAAAAACCTTACTGAAATCTAGGTAAGCAATGTCTACTGCACCACCCTGATCTATTATTTTAGTTACCCAACTACCTAACTTACCCAATCAAAAAAAAGATCTCCCTGAAGTAAACCAATGTTGTCTCTGATCTTGAAATCCATGTGATTTTAGATGTTCATCAATCCTATCCTTTAACATGGTTTCTATTACTTTCCCCACTATTGAAGTAAGGCTTACTGGCCTATGGTTGCCTGACTCCTCCCTACTGCCTTTCTTGTGAATGGGCACAACATTCGCTAACTTCCAATCTTCTGGGACTACTCCTGTTAACAATGATTGGTTAAATAAATCTGTTAATGGTTTTGCTAGTACACCACTAAGCTCTTTTAATAATTTTGGGTGTATTCCATCAGGTCCCATTTACTTATTTGTCTTTACTTTTGACAGCTGAAATAGAACCTCTTTCTCTGTAAACTCACATGTAACAAATGACTAATTTGTCCTCTTTCCTAATTGAGGTCCCTTTCCTTAATTTTCATCTGTATATACTGAACACAAATATTAATTGAGGCAGTCAGCTATACCATTATCCACTTCTACATACCTTCCATCTTTTGTTTTTAATCTAACTAATCCTTGTTTTGCTTTCCTTTTCTCATTTATGTATTGATAAAATGTTTTGCCAACTTTGTTTTTTTTTACTGACTGTGCTTTTTTCTCTTCTGTGTGTGATTTGGAAGCTCTTATAACTTTCTTGGCCTCTTTCTGCCTAATCGTATAGCTCTGTCTATCATCATCACTGTGGGTTTTTTTATCATTACTAAATGCTAACATTTTGTTTTTTTACTATTTTGGCCACATCTGCAGAGTACCACAGTGGTTTCTTATTTTTTCTGCTCTTCCTAACAAGCCTCATGGAATTTTCTGTTGCTTTCAGTAGTGCAACTTCTAAATAATCCCATTTCTCCTGAACTCCATTTAAACTGCTCCAGTCTGATAAAAACTCCTTTACGCATATTCTTATTTTAGAAAAGTCTGTTTTTCTAAAATCTAAAACTTTTGTTTTTGTGTGGTGTGACTCAGTCACTTTTTTTATATTAAACCACACTGACTGGTGATCACTTGATCCTAAACTTTCACCTACAGTAATATCTGATACCAAATCTCCATTTGTTAACACTAAATCTGGTATGACCTCCTTATGAGTTGGTTCCCTTAAAGACTTGTTTTAGAGATAATCCCAGTAGAGAGTTTAGAATATGTGTGCTCCTGGCACAGGCAGCTGTTTAGGTTTTCCAGTTCACACTCGGAAGATTAAAGTCACCCATGATAATAACTTTGCACTTCATTGTTATTTTACCTATTTCCTCAAATAGTAGATTATCTAACTCTTCTATTATCAATGAATATTTATTTTGTCAATCTTTATTTATCAGTGCAAAAGAGAGCAAACAGGCTTGTGAAGCCACAACAGCAACAACAAGATTTTCATTAATAGACATATTATTATGGCATTAAATGTACTGGCACATTTCTGTAAGAATAAAGGACATATTATAAGGATAAGTCACTCGCTCCTATATAAAACTCTGTGTGGGCCATGTTAACTTGAGGGAGCAGCCATAGACACCTCAGCAACTATAAGATATATTGAGAAGATTATCTTCTAGTGTATTTAGGCCTGAGCACCCTCATTACCAGCATATCAAGTAAACTAAGAATCAAAGGGTGGGTGGGGGTGGACAAGAGGAGATTATAGAGGATGAGTAACTCTTTTAAGTTGACAGGAAACAGTGTAGTAAGGCACTAAATAGTGTATTTGGGAACACAGTGTATGCCACTTAATAAATAAAAAAAAACAGAAACAGGAACTAAAAAGCATTATAAACACAAACTGATTGAAAACACAAAGCCATACAACTGTTGGCAGGCCAGTCATGGTATTAAAACAGATGAAGGATCCCCTCTCTAAAACGCTGGCACAAACGGGTGAACCCTCGCAGGATCCCAGCTCGTTGGTCTAGTCACAGGCAGGTCAGTGGCCGGCTCAGTGAGTGTGGCTAATAGCTCCAACTTTTGCAGTGTGGATGTTATCTCTGAAGCATCCATGACTTTGATCGTGCCAGTGTCTCATGTAATCAACAAGAAATGTGGTGATCCACAATTGTAGTTTAGCTTATTAGCTGCACGTTCCTTGGTGAGAGGCGGTAAGGATCTGCGATAGTCTAGAGTGGCTCTGAACAAGTGGGGATAAAAGGCCAGGGAGTGTTCCTCAAAGTGCAAAGGAGACTTACTGCAGATCGTCGACATAAACGCCAATCTGTCTTGGGTTTGTTGGAATCAGACTATAAGATCCCTGCTTATCCCAGGATCACTGGAGGCCGGTTTTGGTATCTTGTACCACCCATCAAGAGGTATTATCTTGGCTTGCTTGGCAGCAGAGAGGTAAGTAAGTAATCAGCTAAAGAAGTGTATTATTTCTCCTGCCTTCGACGATTTCAGGTAGGCCGCACATTTTGATATTCTTCCAGCGCCTCCTGTCTTCCATGGTGGTTATGCATTCCTGAGTTCCAGCTTTGTGATCTGTTGCTCATGAGCAGCAGTATTCACCTCTGCATTGGTGAGGTGAGCTGAGACCCCGTTGATCTCGTCTCTAAACTGACCAATGTTGGCCACAATATTTCTGCGGAGTTCGTCAAAGAGATGCCTCAGTGTCTCATCCATGATAAGGGGGTTCCCGGCAGGCTGGAGCTGTATGGTGTGATCTTTGCCAGCATGTGTCCCCATTGCACAGTGCTCACTAAAGGATGTCTCAATTGAAGATCGGGAGCGGTCGATGGATGGCGACACCATGACAGGCCTCCATAAGAGATCGGCGGTCGCGGGGGTTTTGTCCGCCCTATATTTCTTATTTTTGCACCCTGTGTCGTAAGGAAGGCTGCAGCATGAGTCAGGAATAGTAAAGGTCAGTATAACCTACTTTTTAGCTTGTTTTCCTGCATGTTTGCCCGTAGCTCAGTAAAACCGCATCCTGCTAGCATGGGTCCGCCCCCCAATGAATATTTTTTTAATGCCACTGTGTAATGTTTGTATGTGGAACATATGTGGTGTATTACATTTGAAACCAGAAACAGAACCAATACAGAGCTTTAACAATCCTGGTACCCTATGTTTGTAAACTGAATAATCTGGCAGAAATGCTAAAAACAAAAAATATTTTTCATGGCCATTTCACACATTGGTAAGTCCCCACCGTGGACACCCTACATGGTTTTTGGATGTTAAGCCTTATCTGACTTTGTGCATTGGAAATAGCTCCTAATTTAGGCATATAGAATTGAGAAATAAATTAACTTGCTGAAGGCAATGAGACAGAGCTGGAATTTGAACCAAACTCGGCTACATCAAAGAGAGTGGAATTACTGCTGAGCCAGGATATTTCCTGCAAAATAATGTGATCATATAAAAAATAAAGTTGTGTATACAGTATATATATTATTTTTTACAGTTATTTACATATGGAAAAATATCCATAATAAAATATGTATGATGTGGTCAAACATATAATTTGTTAGTACATCTTTTGAACTTTCTATAAGCTAAAACAACTTTGGGCCAATTAAGCATTCGTTGTTCAGACGTCCATTTTGTATACACTGAGTGCTTTTTTTGGAATGTTACCCTGGCATTAAGCTTAGCATGGAATGTACATTCCTTAGCATGCTTTTTTAAAATATATATTCTACAGTTCAAATGGGTAATATAGATTGTTTGGTTTCAACATTTCTTGACAATATCATTTGTATGTAATATTTTGCAATAGACATGGGGAAAATGTTTTAGTGTGATATGTATTTATATGGATATAGAAACATGCATTGATGTACACAAAGATTTCACAAAGCACCTTGGGCTCATTTGAAATGAATCTTAACAAAATGACTATGAAAAGACAGCTGAGTGTTAGTGAATGGATAAAACCTGTGTTTACAGTACTTGTGGGTGGGCAGCTCCAAATCTGTTTATGTATGCTGGCTTGAAGAGAAACAACATCATGCATTCCAACTGCTGTGAACCAGATGAGAAGGTACAGGGCTCATAGCAGTTCACTAAGATGAGGGGTTCGTTTTGAAAGGACAAATACTCTAAACTATCCTTTCTAAAGAGTTAAACAAAAATGATATTTTGCAGAAAAGATCTGATAGCAAGATTTTAGGGGCAATGGGATTACATCAAATATATCAAAGGAAAATATCCCATGGTCATCAACTGGATTTTTAACCCTATATGTGCTCTGTTATTTGTAAGAATTCCTAAGTTCCTGGAAAACATGCTTACATTTGATTTTTGAGTAGATTAAATCAAATTCCTATTTTAGTGATTGCAGTCACTTTAAAATTGTTCTTGTGTAGTTTTAACACTTCTCTATTTTATTTTATTACACCCACAACTGATTCATGTCTCTATAATGTACTGTAGGGACACGTTTATGATAAATAACAATAAAGTTACAATTAGTTAGTTGCTATCTATATTAGTCTTGTAAAGAGGCACATTTTCAGTTGGAAATCCATAGGAACAAAATTTAACTTCAAGGTAATTAAAGGTAATTTAGATGTAATTAATTACATTCCCTATCTGTTGAAAAGAAATTTTATCTGATTTGTCAGAAATGTTATTTACTAAGATCAACCCATATTAGGACTGAGTATCTCCGCAAAATCACAAGAAAGATATCATAAACATTTACAGGTCACACTCACACATACACACACACACATACAACCACCCTCCCCCCCCCCTTGGAAGTGAGTGGGTTAACAAACTGTAGACGATGGGCTTTCATATACCCTTTGGCACCTATAGTACTAGACGTAAAAGTAAAATGGATTTATGATAGTGTCTTCCAAATGCAAAATTAAATATCTGGAATCCTCTTTAAAATGTATGACCCTATGATTCATCCACACTTGAAAATCAGTTACATGTTATACATTAATAATTAATACATTTCACCGATAAAAAAAAAAATCAGAAAAAAAAAATCTCCTAAGGTAATGTGAAAATTGAATATTCAGCTTTTACCCACTGAATTTACCCCTCTTGCATCATAGCAATGTGATTGTCAGGATAACACAAAATACAAAATCTGAGATAGTAAAGAAGAAGTAAACATATGGTGTATTATTGGTCCTTAGAGGTTCAACATACTAATGGAAGTCTAAACACACCTGAAGACAGCTTAAGAATAGACAGGCTAAGCTGAGGTCATGTATACCAGAGAAATAACAAAACAATAATAGAATCAAAGTCCAAAGTAGACTAGCCAATACCAAGCTAAGGTCAAATGCCAGTAATAAAGATAATGAAAAAGATGTGCTCTTGGGCAAATAAACCACAACAGGGAGTTGTAAAGAAGATGGAAGAGATTTAAATAGAAAAGGGAGCAACCCTATAGGCCGGTGTTTTTTCTACTACACCAAAACTTACTTGTGGCACTCAGTTGATGCCACAGAAACAGTAACCTTAGAATGACATGTGGTGCCAGCATCACAAGAGGTGGTAATTTGACAGTCTGGCATCAGAATTAAAGCAGGAACTGCAAATGACCAGGTAATCTGAAAGCAGAATGCAACTGTGGTTTGGTAAGACTGAAATTATATTATACTATAATGAATGTTCAAGGGTTATACTCAACATGCTCCATATGCTATATGACATGGGCAGGAGTGGTAGGAAATGTTTTAATTACTTGTTAGGCAAGGAGGTTTGGACTAATAATGCTTGACATAGCTTCTTTTGATATGAGTTACTAATTTAGCTTGTAAAATTGTACACTGCACCTTCAGTATATCCGCAAATTTAAACCTCCTTTCAATGAGCCTAATTCCCAAGATAGAACTTAATGGCAAGAGGTAAAAACAAACAATAGTTTATGAAATATTTTTTAAGAACACACAAAAGAAACACACAAGGAATTTAAAACATACAAAAGTGCTACAGATTGCTCATAGTTATCCATTGCAACACACACCTAATTAGATACCTACAAGGAAGAGAGTAACTCCTAAACTCATTTATATATTTTTTTTAATTCTTCATTTAAGATAAGCAGTCATATAGATTACAGTGTACAAAATAATTGTCAATATGAAAAAAAAGACATCATATATTATATTGATGATATAATATATCATTGACAAAGGAAAAATTAAGATTATTGTTAACAATGAAAAATTTATATCTTGTTTTATATATTTTAAAAACGTGCACTGCTAATCCATGTCATATCATTGTTACCGAAATAATCCATATACGCGCTGTTGTGGCATTGTATGCTTATTTGTCAACCCCATGCACAAGAAAAATAAAGAATTAAAAAAAAAAAATGTATAATATATTTGAGTTTAAAGTGTCTAGTATATAAAGTAAATGCCCTCTTTTTATTATGTCTATTGCTGAAATACTACATTTTATATTATCAATATCTGTGTTCTGCTCTTATTATTTTAAAAAATAAAGAAAATAACAGAAATAATTAAAGAACAAGAAAGGGAAGAAGAAGATGGTGGGAGGAGATGATGTGTCACTGCGCATATCACATCAAAATTGTAAGTCATAAAAAATGTAAAGACCGTTGGTTGGATGGAAATTCTCTCCAGGGATTCCAGACTTTTGAAAATGTATCCTGTGAATGTCTGACTTTAAAGGTCAATTCGTCTATAACCGCATTATCTTCAACTTTTGTAAAAACATCTTTTAATCTTGGGGGATCCATTTTGAGCCATCCTGCTGCAATGACTCTACGAGCTGCTAATGTGATTACATTGAAAAGTTTTTGATTGTGTGTGGAAAGTCCATCAATTGTACAAAATAAAAGGCTGAACTCATAGTTTAACCAAACGAAATGCAGGTAATTCAGCAATTATCTATCTTTCTTGAATTTTACTCTGTGTATCTGAATGTATTATACACTACCACATAATTCGCAATTACTGGTCAGTTACCGCAATATAAAAATATGATTTTATAAAAGAGGAGTTCCAGACATAAGTTTTGGAATATATCTAAGAATGGCAAAGTCTAAATCCAAAATATCCTCTTATGTCACTGTCAGTAGCCTTCTTTTATGGTTCCCCACATTCAGGTAAGCCCCCCTAGAGGTCTGAATACATACATGTGACCTCTCTCAGTTTTCTACCATCCCCATAGTTCTGAACGCAGGCCACTTTGACTCTGCCTCTTTTATAACACAATGCATGTTAGTAGACATCATGATGCTGATGACATCATGCATCATCAATTTCAGCATTCCCGCACATTTTTGGGGCCTGGCTACCTAATAAAGATGCTACACTATGTATAGTTAATAAAGGCTTGGTTCTATGCCCTGTTGGGGTCCTCTATAGTTATATTTCCCTATTGATATTCTAATCTTGCTTTTATTGACTATTCTCTTTTCTGTGATCCCTGCCTCAGCTTTTGTCCCTCTGTATTTCTGGTTTCCCTGTATCTGGCTTCCCTGTACCCTGACTATTCTTTGTTTACTTACGTAAAGCTCAGCGACCCTACGAACTAGTATACGTTGTTTATTGTAGATAAGATAAACTCGGTGTTTTGGGTCTTACTGTCGACACCTACAATTAATGCAAGCCTACCAATGCACCCACCACAGGCGTGCGCACGGGGTGTGCCCACGTGTCCCGGATTGCCTGGGACTGTCATGCATTTTGTGGGTCTAGCCAATGAGCTGGGCCCCATATTAGTGAAGAGGGGGCCCGCTTGCTTCCCCACTATGCCAATGCCGTGGCCCCCCATTTGCTGCCCACTGGTGGAGATGTGCGAGCAGCAACCCTCCCTCCCTCTCTCCCTACCCTCCCAGCACTGGGAGGAAGTGAGGTCACATGCAATGACATCACTTCCTTCCAGTGCTCTTTGCAAATGGCCACACAGGAGGAAACAGAGAAGAGCTCCCAGGACCAGGTAATTGCATTGAATGAGGGAGAGGGTGAAATCTTTATCATGGACTCACTAATACTACTAGTGATTCTATGATAAAGATTTCCCCCCCGGATATGAAATGGGGGAATAGACATGAAATGGGGGGGGGTGGTGGACATGAAATATGGGGGAATGGACATGAAATATGGGGAATGGATGCTGAAACCCACGCTACGCCGCTGTGTCCGGTGTGAAGAGGGGGTCCAAGAGGGGCAAGGAAGTGTCCCTGAATGCTATTTTCGAAATGTGGTCAACCTACCCTAATCAATCTTCAAAATTGAGGCTCCGTGCTGCACTACATATATACGCAGTATGTGTTTTGTGCTTTAGGGTGCACACCCTAATGCAATAGGCTGCACACACCTATGGCACCCACTGTTTGTCAAAGCAACAGTGACTAATCCCTAACACCAGTAAAACATAATGCCTGTTAAAAGCAACAAATGATAGCCTGGGGCACTTTTTGGTGCACCTGAGCTCCTTAATTAGGAAGCCCAAATCTAAGTTCTCACTTGTCTCCTCACCAGAATTTAAGGCCAGATAACCAGCCCATTACATCCATCCCACCGATCTCTACTTATGGAAAGTAAAGATGTCCCAATTGGTCCTACCTGCAGCAAATCCACAAAGGGACTAGTTAATATTATAAGTTTTATGGGTGTGAAATATTATTCTCATTATTGCAACCTCACTATCCAATTGGATGGACTTCTCCCTGTAAAATTGTCATCGTTTAACAAAGGAGATGTAATGAACTAAAAGCTTTTTGGTAATGAACCAAAACCATTGTGGCCCTTCACCACCAATGTTACTGGATGACTTGCATATCTAATCCAAAGTTTGCAGTCTTACCAAAGTCCAAAGTGTACAATGGTGAAAGGTCCCCTACATTTCAAACCAGAAGATTTTAGAATGTACCTCTTATTTTATATTGAAAGTCAAACACATATTTTAAGTTAAATAAGCTGCTTATACAGAGCCTCTCAATTGTAATATACTAAATGCGTATTTTAGCTTGCCTAAACACAGAAAAAAATATTATACGCTCGTATGCAGGGGCTGAGTAAGGGCACAGGGCTGAGTAAGGGGCAGGGCTGAGGAGGGGGACGGGCTGAGTAGAGGGACAGGGGCTGAGTATGGGGACAGGCGCTGAAGAAGGGGACAGGGGCTGAGAGGGACAGGAGCTGAGGAAGAGTGACAGGAGCTTAGGAGAGGGGCCGGGGATGAGGAAGGGGACAGGGACTGAGGAAAGGGGACAGGGACTGAGGAAGGGGACAGGGACTGAGGAAAGGGAAAGGAACTGAGGAAAGGGACAGGGACTGAGGAAGGGGAATGGGGACTGAGGAAGAAGGACAGGGACTGAGAAAGGAGGACAGGGACTGAGGAAAGGGACAGGGATTGAGGAAACGGAAAGGGACTGAGGAAAGGGACAGGGACTGAGAAAGGGGAACGGGGACTGAGGAAGGAGGACAGGGACTGAGAAAGGAGGACAGGGACTGAGGAAAGGGACAGAGACTGAGGAAGGGGACAGGGACTGAGGAAAGGGACAGGGACTGAGGAAAGGTGACAGGGCTGTTGAAGAGGGACAGGGCTGAGGAAGAGCGACAGAGACTGGGGAAAGGAACAGAGACTAAGGAAAGGGATATGGACTGATGAGGGGGACAGGGACTGAGGAAAGGGACAGGGACTGAGGAAAGGGACTGAGGAAGGGGAAAAGGACTGAGGAAGGAGGACAGGGCTGAGGAGGACAGGGACTGCGGAAAGGGACAGGGACCGAGGAAGGGGGACAGGGCTGAGATGGGGGACAGGGACTGGGGAAAGGGACAGGGGCTGAGGAAAGGGACAGGGACTGAGGAAGGGAACAGGGACTGAGGAGGGACAGGGACTTAGGAAAGGAATAAAAAAAACTAAAGTGCATCCCCCCCCCCTGAGGCTTACCTTGGGCCAGGAGGGGTGGGGCAGGATCTGGAGCCTGCAGCCTGCAGTCAGGAGGGGGTGTGACTTCCTCTGCTCTTCTCCCAGACTCCCCAGCAGTCCTAGGAGAAGAGCAGTGAAAGTCACGCCCCCTCCTCCTGACATCATCAGGAGAGGCCGGCCGACTCCACTGGCTGCAGGCTGCAGGGAGGGAGGTGAGTTTAGAAATCTGAGTCCCCAGCCAGAGGCACGGGATTCGGATTTGTGCTCCCTCCTGCTCTGGTGAACGCTTGTGCCAGCCCTGGGTCCTGCAGGACTAGTAACGGGAAGGCCGTTCCTGATGTGGAAAAAGTGCAGGAATGCCGTTCCCACGCGTTCCTGCAGGACTCGAGCCCTGGTCTTCACTATTTATCTACCTCACCACCCTCTCCTTGATTACATGGTCTGCACCTCTTTTTTAAACAACCACTGGCTAACGCTATAAGAACTCTGAATGTTATGAGACATTCCACCAAAGGCGTTGTTTAAAGCCAGCTATTCAATATGATTTAATTTATGACAATGATGATTTAATTTATCATTGTCCTGAACCAGGCCACTCCAGGTTTGCACATGACTTGCGTTAGTGAGTGAAGAGGTTAAATAATACTGTTTGTCTGTACTAAAC